AGATGAACCAAAAATGGCAAAATGTTGGTAATTGTTAAAGCCAAGTGACCAGTATTAGGTCCATAAGTGCTTGTTATACTATTCTATCTCTGCTTATATATGTTTGAAATTTTCCATAGTAAAAAAAATTGCAAATGTCATTTAATATTGCTATTCTCTCAATTTTAAGTAATCAAGAAAATAAAAGCTCAAACAATTGTGTTTTCATATTTGAAACTCGGACTTGGGGGGGGCAAGGGCAACATACGTAACCTAAACGTCTGTACCCCCATAATATGCTCAAATAAAACAAACAAACAAACAAAAAAAAAAAACAATTGTGTTTTCAGCAACCTACCTAGCTAGAGTAGAAGGCTCAATTCAGATCCAACCCAACTCAGATCTCAGCCAGGGAAGATCTTTTTTTTGTAAGATGCTGAGATTGGTCCAATCTCATCTTTGGTACTGGATAAGGGAGGACAATAAAAGGGAGGAAAACTGACTATAGCCAATGAGATAACCCTTTTGATAGAACAATGAGCCCACTGTAACTGCTGGCTAAGGCAGAAGGGTGGAGCCACTCCCTCTGTGATCTTAGAAAAGGCCACTTCTCTCTCTGCCCTACCGTAACCCAGAGAGCTTCTCACAGAGAGTGTTGAGGGCTCTCCATTAGTCATGTTCATCATCAGTATATCTTACATCCCAATAATACTCTATGTTAATAATAAACAAATTCACTTGATCCTCACCAACACCCAGTGAGCTAGGCAAGGCAGAAATCATGAAGCAGCAGCTAAGCTCCAGAAAGTTTATGCCATTTGTCCCAGGTCACCTGCTAATGAGCAGTGGAACAGACCAGGAGCCCAGCTTCCTCTAATTATTCTCCTAGGTGGTTTTCTTACCAAGGCCCTATTTTCTTCCTCTTATTCCTTATTATTCACATATTCTTTTCTTTTTTTTTTTTTCCACTGCTGCTTTAACTTTTATTAGACCAACAATCACCTTGGGGACAAAAAAAAAATGCCAGCCAAAACCCGTTAAGCAAACTTTGGCATTCCATGTGTCTATATACCACATGTTCTTTATATTCATCCATTGATGGACACTTCCATTGATTCCATGTCTTGGCTATTGTGAACAGTTCTGCAGCGAACAGGGGGTTGCTTAGATCTCTTCGACATACTGATTTCCATTCCTTTGGATAATTTCAATTCCTTTGCATATATACCCAGAAGTGGGACCACTAGATCATATGGAAGTTCCACATCTAACTCTTTTTAAGTCTTCTATTAAGAACAGTTGTCCCTGAACCTTCTTAAATCTGTTTATGTTTTAAACCTGCACCACCGTAGAGAACAAGGAGTTTCATTAAATTCTATTGGCTCCTTAATGCATGAAATAAGACTTTACCTCAAAGAGCAAGAAGATTTAAAGGACCAGGTTAATAGAAACGTATAGAGCTGCCTCTTGGTGACCAGCTGGGGAGTGAGAGTGGGCAGCCTCTGACACAGCCAGGGCCCAGTCCCTGGGGCAGCAGACTCACCGAGATCTTGGTAAAAATGTAGAGCAGCAGGGACAGAATGGAAAGGTAGACCTGGATCCGCTTGCCTCCAAACCGCTTCCGCAGGTACTGTGGCATCGTCACCACCTGCATGGGATGCGAGGGAGGTCACTGGCCAGCCAGAGTGACCAGAGAGCCCAGAGCAGAAAGAGCAGTAGGACCCACCCTGGTGTCAGAGCCACAGAACTATGGTCAACGATTCCGAGCCCTCGTTGGCCAGAGAAGTCTGCGAGGTCGGGGAGGGCCCTTGACATCCCGCCACTGGCTCATTTCCATCCCGAACGCCCTCCCACTGTAGGGGTAGTTAGGTGTTATCTCAGCACATAGAAGGTTGTTGAATTAACACAAGACTGGGCATAACTAAGGAGGCAGATCCTTTCTATAGAGGAGGAGGGGAGATATATACATATACAATCAGCTCCCTTATCTGTGGGTTCCACATTCACAGATTGAAAATATTTGGGGACAAAAATAAAAAATAACAATACCACAATTTAAAAGATACAAATTTAAAAAGAATATAGTATAAAAACTATTTATGGGCCGGGCGCGGTGGCTCACGCCTCTGTAATCCTAGCTCTCTGGGAGGCCGAGGCGGGCGGATTGTTTGAGCTCAGGAGTTCGA